TTTTGGAGAACTTTTTATCAAACGGTGTGGTATTTTGATTAATAGTTCGAAAAGGTAAACATTCATACGTCTCGTGGTTCGACGCCCTGAAAAAAAAGAATGTATGAATGAGTCGCTGAATTTTTCCTCAAAAACCGGTACATGATCTCCATTATTCCTACGACCTGCGGAATGCTTTTGAACTTTTGGCTCCGCCCACTCGTAATGCTGCAAGGCTTGGGTCCCAGAAAACCCACTTATCTCGTGTTTTCTTTGGCTGCTATGCTGGTGGTGTACTTCTGCCCACCCACCCATGTTGTTGTTGCAGATACGCCCATTCTGAGCCGTGTTTTTTGCTTCGGCCCATATGGTTGCTGTCTATTTCGCAAGTTTTTATCAGTTTCTTGTCGGTTTTGAAGTTCTAGAGCTTGCAGTGGCCATGTTCCCACATGTCACGTTGTACCTTTGATGGGTTCTTTAGCTTAGACCGTTTTCAGAACTTACCTACTTTCCCACCACCTTTTCTTCAATCTGTTCATGTGCCTTTACCCTCCAAGTAGCCCCTTACCGAAGGTGGCGCGCCCTTGCGCCGAGGATTAGATGAAATGTCTGCTAATTAATCGATAGGCACATCTAGTAAGTAGTATAGGTAAAAGTATTGTTATGAGAGCATGATTCAGGTCATCATTGAGGTGAAAACGTCGACTGTTGGGGAGCTGGCTGGGGAGCTGGGGCTTTTACCTGGCATTTACCCCCTTTTTCCGGTTCCCCCACCCCATTCCCATGGCAGTGGTCATGTCAATGGTCTCGCCCCAGAACTCGTACTCGAGAAGACCGGTGAAGGTCACACCCACTTGGAATGTCATACTGACCCCTCATTCCACTAGAACCTCCCTAAACTTACTTACTATTTACATACTTGTTACTACAATATTACAAATCGGTTATTATTTGCTCATTTGTAACTTCATGTAACTGAGTAATCTACCGGTTTTCGCTAGTTCCTGGACTGTCCCAAGCTTTTTCTTGGGAAATTCTATCAGATAAAGTAAGTGTAGGCCATTTGTACCTTCTGCGATTCTTATTGTTTCTCTAAGTAGTAACAAGTAAACACAACCAGGCGTGAAATCTACTTACTCGCCCGATGTTCCGGAAACTCCTAGCGCGGAGACAACGTTGAAATATCGATCGTTTGCTTTTATTATCGTCTTTGAAGATCTCGTCAGATACGAAGGAGTGTCGAAGCGGTCTTGCGTTTTTCCCTTTTTCGACGGGTCTTAACTGGGCCTCATCCCTATGGCTGCCCCTATACTACGTCCCTTCCACGTATCGAGCCAAATGACCCGAATGAGCCCCCGAAATATTCGATTTGTTGCGAAGGGGTCCCCGACACAGGGATTAGGGTCCTCGAAAATCTCATCAACATTAGTTCGCGGTCGCACAATCCATTACTACATATTACTACGAGAGTAAAATGTATCTATAGCTAGGTATACTTTATGTGTTCCTCTTTTTTGTTATGCATTGTTATTATAGCTGTTATGGGGGCATCCCCGGAAGGGTCTTCATGTTAGTGGTTTTGATTTTCAGCTCCCGAACAAGGAGCTACATCCATCGCGTCACCAATGAAATATGATACTGATTTGCGTCTTCGATTTCATCTAATCCTCATTATCCCGATTTATCGCCATCTATTCATAGCTATGCCTTTCTCGGAATTCTTCAGTCCATCAGTTCCTTACAGCTCTCACTTTATTACTAGTAAAGGGATTGAAGAGACCATCCATTTTTTCGCATTCCACGATGGACTCAACATTAATTATTAAAATTATTATTAATTATTTTAACATTATTAATTATTATAGTTATTATAACGGCATCATTATAATTTTTTTCGACATTTTTGGTGAAACTTCCGAGATTGGTAACAAGTTTCTTTGCTGACGTGCCAGCATTATACCCCTCATTCGGGCTTCGATAAAAAAGGTCTTGAAAGCTCCTTCAGGCGTTCATTTAAAACACCTTTGTCCCTTTTTTATTTGTTTATTTATATTTGCCTACCCATGTGTCTGTTTATTGGAAATATTTATTTATTATTTATTTTGGAGTCGATGTAGTGACAAGTGGCGCGCATGCTTGATGGTTCGAATCCCCCGGGTAGCTACTCGTTCAAGCCAACCAGGTATTCTATACCTCTGGGGTTGGCTGATTGGTAGCAGACCAGCAGACCGGTCTGGGAGGATAAAACTTGTACATTGGATAGGCNACACATTCGAGCCGCTACTCCGATTTTGAATGGAAGTCGAGTGCGGGGCGCATCCCAGAAATGGAATAAATCAAAGACGAATGTCAGTCTTTTTCTGAACTCTTATTATTATTTATTTATATATTTATTCGTTTAATTACCCATACCTTCCATGGAACTTAATCATACCTGAGAAGTCATTGTTACTTCTTAGAAAATGTTCACGGTAGCTCTCAAGAGGCCTTTTTCAGACTAACAATTGAGGCTCGATAGTTACCTAAATGTTGATGAATGTGATTTAGGAGAAATATAAAATATAAAGAGCCTTATGTATTGACTAGAAAAGCTTTTTTTCAAAGCATCAGGAGGGAAACAATTAATTTGGAAGGAGAGCCATTAAATTGCATAACATCTGCATTTTCAGCGTTATATTTATTCGGTGTCAATTAATTTTTGCAATTTTCAAGAATATTTGTGTGTTTGCCCGTTGAATTAAGTAATTTATTGTTGTTTTGGAAGAAATTCTGCATTTAGAGAGGATTTTTTTCCCGTTGCAGCTATAAGCCGTTTAGAAACAAGTCCACTAATTTCGTTAGTCCACCAGCGTTATCATTGCAGGCAATCGACGATTTCCACTGGCGCCCAGCCTTTGTTGAGATCCTCCTCATATCGAAATGTTGAATTAGATGTAATTCTCCGGTATAACCCATCAATTAGCTGGAACCCTGACCCAGAGCCCTGAAGTCGGTGCTCTTACTCGAAAGGTAGATAGAACGAATTTTGCCAAACATATCAACCAACATATCAATTTGGCNGGGTCGAACAAGCTTTCAAACGCGTTGTGATTCGTGAGTGTTAGTCGAGTGCGAGGCGCATCACGACGTGTACCATCAAATCATTTGACTTTTTGTTGACTGCTATCTTTTGGCCTCGGTACATGATGAGAAAGTCTTACAAGGATGACGAGTTCGGGGCAAAGCTTCTGCCTTATGGGACTCAAATTCGTACTGAGCTTTCCGGCACCGTGCTTCTTACAATTAGCCTTTACACTACCCAGACCCCGTTTTTTGTCTTAATCAATTTGAAGCAGATATAGATTCCAGCTTAATGCCGATATTTGCTGACTAGCTCGTCAAAAAAGTTGCAAGAAAGGAGATTGTACGAGATTATGTGTCTGTAACCGTCTAGGTATCTCCCACATAGCGCACTATTTTTCGCCATCTTAGCACTTCATTGTGAATGTTGTAGCCTCAACAACGCTGTCATAAAACGATCATTTCAAGGTGTGTACGTAGGCCGAGCCGGTTTTGAGGCCCTTATTATGCCCTGTTGAGGTCATTTTCCGGCCCGACAATGTCCGACGTGCTAGCCACAGGTTCTTAAGAAATCTCTGAAAATACTTTTATGAATTGTGTTTTTAAAGTTGGGCCTGGGCGTTGAAATTAGAGGAGAGTCTGAAAGGCACAAGAACGGGCCCGAGTACTGACCGAGCCCAAGTTCTGCCCATCACTGTGAGAGTCACTTCTTTGTTCCTCGGGCTCATTCCTTTCTTAATCGAGTAGGTACGTTTCTGAGATCCCACGGAATCTCCAATTCCTTGATGACTACAAATTCCCACATGGAATTTCGATTTTCTCCCAAGAGTTGAAACCCATTAAGTACTGGACTTCTTCTCCGCCCGCTCTTTTCTCACAGGCTATCCCATTTCGCTGCAGGTTTCCCGCTTTGAATACCTCCATGATTGGTGCCCCGCTCAATCCTTTGCTTGATGGAGTGGTTCATCACCAGTTTTATGATGGTCACCTAGGAACAACCATGCTAAAACAACAACAACAACGACAACAACAACAACAACAACAACAACGAAATTAACCGTTCAAAGGGAAAAGGGGGGAGGGGGGAGGGGAGGGGCGAAGGTGGTCGAACTTTTGAGTTATTATTATGGGATCTACTTTTAGGACCACTAATCTGACACGCCGCCACTCGTACTCGATTGGGTCCTTCGATGCGATAGCAATGAACAAATCCCTAATCAGCTGATCAATCCGCCAACAGAGCCCGTCCCAAGCTCTAATTGATTCTATCAATCCTCTCGGTCATGCCCTTTCCGTCCATGGAAAT